GGTGGGTTCACCGGCCTGGGCGCGGAGCCGGGACGAGGCTCCCCCGCCTGAGCCCGGACAGGGGCTTCTCCTCCGCGGGGGTCGGGGAAGGTGCTGCGGGAGCGGGAGCCCGCGCCCCTGGTCGGGGGTGGGTGAGCCGGGTTGCAGCGGCGGAGCTGCGGACCCCCGCGTGTACGCTGAGGGGTTGTGCGCGCTGCAAAGTATGGAAGAAATTAAAAGTAAACAAGAGAAATTAAAGCCGGTGGTCCTGAAGATATCTCCTCTTACTGAAAGAGACCGTAAGTGCAGTTAATAGAGCAAGGAGAAAGGAGGGTGCAGAGAGCTGGGGATGAGTCTCTTTAAGGAAGTAATAAGCGTTAGGACAAGAGGGAATGGCCTCAAGTTGCACCAGGGAAGGTTTAGACTGGATATTAGAAATAATTTCTTTACAGAACGGGTTGTTGGGCGTTGGAATGGGCTGCCCAGGGAGGTGGTGGAGTCCCCATCCCTGGAGGGGTTTAAGAGTCGGGTCGACAGCGCTGAGGGATCTGGTGTAGCTGGGAACTGTCAGTGTTAGGTTAACGGTTGGACAGGATCATCTTCAAGGTCTTTTCCAACCTAGATGATTCTGGGATTCTGTGATTCTGAGACATTTCCCAAAGCGGCCTGTTGCTTGAAGCATTGGTGTTTATTACTCTCCACATAGTACGATGGCTGTGTGCAGTAGGCTGTAGGAGTGAAGGATGAGGTTGGGGGGCTGAGACATGTAGAGGTCTAGGGAAGATGGATATAACCTAATGGAAGTTTTGTGGTGGGTGCAGGGCTCCCTGCATCATGAATTCACAGAGGCATATTTCTCTGCTGAAGGTCAAGGCCAAGTTTCCCCAATTGACCTTCCTGACTTCTGAGTTGTAGCAGCAAGGTCAGGCTCCAGGCAAAGGTGCATTTGAAAAAGAAGTATCAACAAAAGATGACTGTGTAATGGCAAGGGCACTCTTGTGCTATAAAGTGTTGTGCAAAAGGAGATGGAGATCCAGGACACAGTTTCACCAGCAGAAGCTGTGGTTTAACTCAGGGCTGAATTCCAGCCCTGAGAAAGTCAGAGCCTATAGGCTCCTCCATCACTTAAATTAATTTTATACCCTTTTCTTTTGCTGCTATGTAGTTGGGAGGTCTCACTCATCATCGTGGTGCAGCCCATACTGTAGATCGGGGGCTGTAACTCCCCCATCAACTCCCTACCCCTCTGCAGCCGAAGCCTCTCTTGCTAATATTACTGTGTGAATGTTTTGAAGCCTGTTGCATACCCATGTGTTTTGCCTTCATCCTCACCCTCCTCTGCCGACATCCTCCCTTCCTGCGTTTGTGTGTGGTGGCCGTGTGTACACAGAAACTACTGCCAATACAAAAGCCTTTTCATTGCAGCCAGAGCCATTAGCCAGATTTCACTGCAGGTCAACAGAGATAAGTAAAACCAATAGTTTTTCTTCCAGCAAGCCCACATTTATAGGTAGAAACAGTATCTGGCGTAAGGCAATATAAAGATGCAAGATCTGCAGGATCTGAATGTCTGAGAATTTGCTTTTACCCCCCATAAAATATAGCTCCTATTACTACAGAAATTGCCCTTAGACCATCAAGCTGCAGCACTGCTAGCAGCACTGCACAGCTCCTTCACTCAGCACCTGATCCTATCCCTGTACAACCGTTTTCCCCAGCAAATGTAATGTTCAAGAGTTTTGTGAGTCATTTGATTTTAATCGGGTCTGTTCATCGGTCACAGACCTGCAGGTCACTGGCTGGAAGAGACTGTGCCAGCTAAATCCCACGTCCTCCGTTTTATCACAGGAGCACTTGATAATCAATCAAAATTGTGTGGCACCAGGTTTTGATGTAGGAAATGAAACATAGTGATGTATTAGTGATCTGGGAACAGCTTCTGCTGCTGTTATATATTAAGCAGGCAAAAGGCAACCTGGGAAAGACAATGATGATAGGATTTGGCCTTTATTTAGTAAATTTACTCCCTGATGCTGGTTAAGCTATTCATGCAATGTGTGAACACAAGGCTGACTGCAGAAACCAAGGTGATGGTGGAGTGGGCCAAGCGTTTGCTGTGTTTGCAGTGCTGACTGCCTGCAGCTGGCTGGGGGAATTCATGCTCCATGTCCCCTCGCAGGTGGCTCCGCCAGCGCGCTGTGGTGCACGGGACCACTGTGGGGCTCTCCCCTTTGCTGGGCCTCCTCCAAGACCCCGAGAGCTTGTTCTTAGATAGGGAGTCCTAATGGTGATGAGATTATTGTCAGTTAAACTGCATCCAAAATAATTTCCAAGCTTTTGTGGGTGAGCGCTGTTGACATCTGTGCAGAGTGTAGTTGCCCACTGCGAACACAGAGGTATTATTGAGAAAATTTTTATGGAAGGGATCTGGGGTTAACACAATCCTTTTGGTCATGGTGCAACCTCATAAATCACTGCCACAGCAGAGGGTGTGGTGCAGTCAAAACCAAAAGGCACTTTGGGCCACAACTTTACCTTCAACTGTCAGATTGATTACCCAAAGGAAAAGGCTTATGTGACCAATTCCATGTGTGTTTATGTACACCCTTTCATCCTCAAAGGTATTTGACCCCATGGGACACTTTTGCCAGATTTGACCAAGGAGTAAGATCTCCAAGAGAAGCTGTTCTCTGTTCTGGGAAGAGAGGAACGTGACAGGGAAGAGGTCTCTAAGGCAGGGGACACCGCAGTGTAAGCTGCCTCTGTCAGACATCAGGGAAGGAGCGTGCCTTGTCAGCACTGTGGGAGAAGCTTCAGTCAGATCTTGCAATCAACCACGGGACATAAGTGTGTCACGTATTTTTTTCTCTCTGGTGCAGGGGCTGCGGGGGTGTGATATATAAAATCCCTAAGTCACAGGACTTATTTCATGGATTTAGCGAAGCTGTGTATGGCAATATGGGAGTTAAAAGCCAGGTAAGATTGGCGTGGAATTGCCTACTACACTTAGTCAAGGGCAAGTTGAGACTGATAACAATGAAGCATGGATGCAACCAATGCTTCTTTTATTGCTTCATATCCTCATTTTAATGGGAAGGCTGTAATTAAGAGTATTCAGCTCCAAGCTATGACCTCACTGGTTGATACTCACATCAGATGTTTCCTTAAAAATAACTCAACAGAAATCAGGGAGTCTTGCTTAGCAGCTCATCTTCCAACAATGCAGTTCCTCCTGAAATACTGGTTTCCAGGCCAAAAAACTTGTCTGGAATCCAGGGGGTTAGAACAAGACAGCTTTGCATGCAAATAACCTCTTTAGCAAGATCAAAAGGCTTTTCTTTCCCCTGTTCTTCTCTGCTCATCTGTCTGGAAAAAACAATAAAAAAAAGTATTTGGTATCAATTGTCCTGTGTTACAAATAATGGTGGAAGTATCCTGCTAACAGGTGATGGAAACTTTTGCCCTTGGTTGTCTGCTAGGCACGGTTCCTGTGGAAACTTTCAGAACAGGGTTGCAATATTCTGCTATGGCTTTGTATAGTTTGAAGGCTCCAAGAAGCCGTTTGCTGCTTCAAAGAGAGGGTAAATCCTTCTCTTTCTGACAATGATGTGATTGTGTAGGGGTTAAGGGAATTGCCTGGTGTTCAGATGATTGCACCACTACACCAAAGGATGCTCAAAGCTTGAAAGACTAGACTTTGTTGAGCAGACAGCTTTTAATTCAGCTTATCTCAAGGTAACAGAGTCTGCAGTGTCTGAGGCTGTCATTTTTGCTACAAGAGTTTAGACACCTCCACCAACATGGAGAGTTCCCAAGCTCGTCACACCCGTGGTGGGTTCCCACCCTTGCTGTAGCACCCTCCTTGTGCCAGCGCACATACCTGTGGGTCTGTGCTGTGGAGCAGCTGAGTGATCCGGGGTCATTAGGCCATAAAACACACCCCAATTCATTTCTCCCAGGGTTGTTCAGGTTTTTATCCAGATCAGTTCAGTGATCCAAGTCACTGTGGCCCCATCGACCATGTATGTTGGCAGAACAGGAGTGGTGGGTTGGTGATGGATTGGAGGTGGATGTTCAGTGGCATCGGAGACCTTAGGGCATCAGAGCAGCAGTGGGTGCCACAAGGTGAAGAGACATGTAATCAGCAGATCATTTGTTTGCAGCCCTCTTATCTGCCAGCTGTTTGCATCAGAACTCTAAATCAAGCAAAACTAGATATGAAAGGCACTCCTGGCTTGCAGAAGGGTCACAGAAAGGGTCATTTCGTTATTCTTTTGAAAGAATAAAACAATTATTAATGAACTGTTCTTCACATTGGTGAAGTGCCTTTGATCTGAAGATATAAACATATTTAGAAACATTAGGAAGAATAAAGATGTGGGCCTGTATCTTTGATGCTGGTTCCTTAGGGTTGGTTGTCCAAAATTCAGAGCCTTGGACCCTGATACTCAAAGCAAGTATTGCTTCTGGCTCCAGGTGAGATGATGCAGCCTGTGAGCTCTTGGTACTTCTTAGGGTTGGGGTTTGTACTGGGGGGTCCATGAGAGAGCAGCTAGTTTAAAATTAAGTTTTAAAAAACGAAGAAAAAAAAAAAGTCTTGATGGAGGAAGGGCTGAAAACCAAACAACCTGTCTAGTATCAGTGGCTGAGTCAGGAAGAAAGAACTGCTCTCTTCTCTGCCATTCCCCATTGCAGAACCATGTTGAAATCAGTAAACATTGGGCAACTTTCAACCACCGGGCAAACAGTCCTCCACAGCAGTACGTTACACACAAAGCTGCAGGCACATCGTGTGTTCTGGGACTTAAAGCACATCAGGAAGATCAACAGAGCTGCCTGGTCATGGTGTAAAGTTCACTTCCAATTCTATGTGAAGAATCATTCCATTTTTATTGCTCTTAAGCTAGGAAGCTGTTTCCATGAGGAAACCTTGTGTAGATGCTGTGAAAGG